AGTGCACAGTTATTTTTAGCAACTACTTCACCATAGCAGCGCACTATAACAGGGGAGTATGTTGCTATGGTAAAGTAGCTGATGGTCACAGTTAGACACCCATGGACACTATGTCACCTTGGTGCATTGCTATGGCAACTCAGCATTATGTGTGGACGCACCCAAGGTGCATTCAACTCCAACTGAATAAGGGAGAGTTGAGCATGTACAGCAATTTGCAGGATCAAATCTACTGACAGGAACTTTCTACTTAAAAAAAGAAAAAAAAGTAGCAGGGAAACATCAAAATCAATTTCCTAAGGAAGCAATAGCCATACAAACAGAATACTAGAAAATGCTAGTTGTACTGTATACACATGAGAAAGTAGAAAAGTAGTAGTTTCATATGTATGAGCAGAACAAGAAAAGAAGTAAAGGAAGATAATGGTAATACAGTATAGCAGGTTGAGAGGCAGTCCCAGAAAGATTGTAGAATGCTATTATAAAACTATATTTATTATATAGGAAGGCTATTAAGTATGTCACAAACACAATTGTAAAGATTTGACATAACAGCAATCCAAGAATTTATCTTTCTCTTCCAAGTACTGTTGTCCCTGATTCTTGGTTCCCATGCTATGAGAAGTTAATGAACTAATTTTCAAACAGCAAGAAACTCAAATCAAGAGACCTCTAGCTTGAAGCAAGAAATAAAACCTGCTCAGGGATCTAGATCCCAAACTGTTTATTCAGACAGCCTATGCACTGCTTGAGACTGTAAAACCTGGATTAGTAGACCTTTACCACCACTTTGCTTGTACATGGGGAAAAAATGGAACCATCAAGACAGATACAGAAGTGATTCACTATTAGCAAATGCTGATCCAATTACCCTTTACATATATTATTTCAGTTGTTTCTATCAAGTGCCTTGAAGCCCTATCTTCACCATGCATGAGTTCTGTGAGTGACACTAAATCATTTCTCTGTTTGGTTGCTTTTTTAAATTTTATGTAGAACTGTAAGTATCCTGGTTGAGAAGTATTCTTTTCTGAAGTATTTCAAACACACAAGTGCTGTAAATAATGAAACTGATAAGTAGACAGACATTACTCAAATTCATTTCCAGTTTGCTTGAATGAAAGCGATGTAGAGACCAATACAACATTAGAAATAGTGATTCTGGGTCCATTAATGTAGGCAAGAATCATGTTTTTACTACACGTTATCCTGTTGAGGTAAAAATGTTGATAGTGGTTCCAATGGTAGAATTACACTGGTTTTAACAAGGAAATTAAGAAATGAAAGAAAATATGTATCATAAGCAAGAGTAAAGAGAATGCTCTTTGAAAGTGATACAAGTTAGAGGAAAAAACACAAAGAACAAGAAAGAGGAGGAAAAACAAACCAAACAAGATTTAGCTCACCCTGCAAAGAAGAGAAGAAACTACATGGAGTGTAACCTTGACCTCAGTGTTGCTCTGAACGAAGCTGCTGCCAATTAACCTCAAGTTACACCTCATAAGATCAAGTCTTCCACTGAAAGTGTCAAAAATCAAGAGACTGACTTTACTCTGGGAATTCATAACCACATATTGACATTATATTACATCTTGCAGTTATTTATGAGCTGTGATTGTTAGATCCTATAAAGCTGGAAAACCTAGAGAGGAAACACACGTGTTTTTTGGGGGAAAAGAGCAAATATCAGGTTTAATGTCACTATCAGTTCTGAATATCAAGTACTTTTTCCCTCATTAATCTCTTTCCCCCTCTGTAAAATGGAAAATATAGTATATTGTATAGCAACCCTTTGAAAAAAGACTCTTAGTAATCACTAGATGAAAAATTCTACACAGAATAGGAGTCAAGTATTGTTACTTTCTTCTCTTCCCCCCTCCCAACACAAATGTCAAAAGGAGAAAAATAAAGTCTTAATCCTACCAGAGCACCTTGATATAACACTGGAACAGGTAAAGTAGATGTGTCTTTTATAATAAAAGAAAGGAAAAAAGCAAGCAATCTTACTTGCTTATACATTAAGTTTTATGGTCTTTTGTGAACCGCTACAGATTGTAAGCATCATGCGTAAAACAACTTGTTTTTAATCTAAGCATCAGATCTGTATGTTTCTTTTCTAGGAAAGGTTTTCAGTATTTCATATTACTTTTCCCATTGTAAAAGTTTATGTTTATCAAAAAAGTGGTTTCAAATTCCCCCATTGTGAGAAGAGGAAGGCTGCTTAGTATTGTATGCTGAATCCTTTGCTAGAACAGTCTTTTTCTTTGATGTGAGCTTCATAACAGACACATTTTTCAAAGCTATGTTAAAACATAGGGATATGCTGTCAACTTAGAAAGTATAAAATTCCTGTCTGGTTTTTAATTTTTGTCCTTTTTCTTTTCTTTTTCTTTTCTTTTTTAACCTATTTTGGATTATATTGTGCTTTAGGCCCAGACTTGAGACTTAGTATAGAAAATGTCTCAGAGTAAAAGACACAAACCTGAGACCCACCCTCTCTGCTCCCTCCTTGGGTAGAGCTGCAGGGTAGGGGGAAGAATGGTGTTGCTATACCCCCACATCAGTTTAGCTCTGCTGACTGGTACTTTGAGGCAGTGAAGCTTTGGTTTTGCACATCTCTGACCTCTTTTTTCCTGCATTCCCTACTGGGATGTAAGCATGTGCAGTGTACCTTAATTCACGATCTGGTTAATAGTCATGGGGCGGAAGAGCTGTTCTTACTTCTCTGTGTCTTGGAAATTTGCTCTGTGAGTGCTGCCAGTGCAGAGGCTATCTTGTAAGCGCCATAGTAACAGGCCCTGCACGTGGCCTTTGCATAACCTATGGGCCTGTCACTCAAGGGTGACCTAGTTTCCCTGTCAGACGCATGCCCAGTGTGAGAGAGGATAACAGTGCGCATGCCCAATTATGTTATATAATCAGACTAGAAAGTTCTGTGGAGTATACATTCTGATTGGCTACCAAATTCTAATAAAAGGTCAGTGAGCCCCCTCCCACAGGAAGAGAGACCCGCGTAACTGGAGACAGAGGCTGACTCCTTCAGGGACTGTCCTCCAGTTAGGCCCTTGGGCCTATTGGCCTCTCTCCCCGCCTGGCGTTCTGTATTGCTAACTGTATTGATCCTCGGCTTCCAACCATCTTCGACCACGATTCCGGATCACCCCTACGGACTTTGACTGCAACCTCGGCGTGACTTACCTGGCTCCTGACTTCAGCAATCACCTCGGCTACCCAACTGTTCTGTGGACTGGCGACACCGACGCGTTACAGTTCTGTTTCGTTATTTGTTTTCCTTCATAAACTGTTGACCATCCCTGGGACTTACCTGACAGACAGCCGCACCTATTCCCGGGCTCTGGCACCAGGAGTAGAAAGCAAGGGCCTGTCGGCGAACCCCGTGGGACAACAGGTCCCCCCGTTGTGTGTTGTTAACTGTAACTGAAGACTCCGTACCTGCGCTCTACCAAGCGTAAGTTAATAAACCTATTCAATTAAGGGACATCCAGCTTCCATGTCACTCAGAACTCCACCGCCGCTAGACCCAGCCTGTTCGTTCGGTTTCCACCATGACACTTGGGACCCTTTCTCTGGGGAGGGAAACCCAGCATAGTGTCACGAACAGGATCTGTGGGAGGCGAGGAGTCTGAGATAAGAAGCTGCCCGTGGCGCAGCAGAGTCCGCCCGATCACCGGCCCGGACGATATAAGGGCCCATAATATCTATCACCAGGCCATGGATTCAGCCGAGAGTGTGATCAAGGGGCAGCTATCCCTCTGTGGGGCAAGAGATCGTGAATGGGCCGTTCAGCTAAATACCGGGGCGTACCGCTGCATTATGCAGAACCCCCAGGCCATTTACTGCCCTGAGGAGGAAAGCGGGGATATGCCACCAGCCCGTACTAGCCCCCCCGTCGTGGCATTCAGCCCAGCTCAGGAGTTTGGCCGGTGCATCCAGTATGTGAATGAGGGAGGCAAGGAGATACCAAGGGACCGC